TTGTTAATTTTCTTACTTAATAGGCTTGTCCAGAGCATAACTTGGTCACTATAAGTTTGATTGACTCCAAATTTGGTATGTAAGCTTTTTTCATTGACCTGAATTGCAATACTGAAGAATCCATCACAGAGTCCTCCATTTGAGCTGTCTGTTAAAAACTCTTCCATGCTATTTTAATTTTTGATAATATAACAGTTTTAGTAATCTTGATGTAACATCGTTACAATCAGTTCAAATGCCACTTAAGTTCAAGGTACATGTACATTCTAAAAGCGGTGTTTTTAAAAAAACCTATATTTAAGAAGAAAATGTCTAAGTGATAGCTATACTGTTCACAAGGCAACACATACGACTCGCGGAGTTATAGTTATGTTTATAACAATTTAGTTTTTGCTATTCAAAATAGCTGGAATTTTGCAGATGAAGTATTGCATAAATAAAATATGAGTTCTTAGAAATCTGAGGGTAGTTTAAAAAAAGATAGATCGTATCGCATGACTTAAAAGCTTTCGTTAGCTTCAGGTACTGTAGCGGTTTAATCCGATGTTTTTATTTAATGATACATAAAACATAATTATTATTATAATGATTGATATAGAATCAATGGTAAGAATTTAAGATCATTTACATGTAGTTTCTATCGAAATGTTTATGATTTTTTAAGTCTATATTATATTCTATAATGTTCATTTATTTACATTTCTAAGTTTCCGAACGGCGAGTGTGTCTGCTGAGGAATAAATCACGCTTCCCCGGCCTCCTTTGGTTATAATAGGGAAATCTCCGATACTGTTAGATAATGTTGATTCATTTACGTTTCTAAGTAAGTGTGTATAAATAACTTTGTCTGTGGTGATATAACATCACCAGAATTAGGATGATACTAATCAGCAACAGAATAAAGGCGAGTCTGTAATTGAATTTAAGATGAAATTTAACTCCCCCACGATACTATTAACCGGATTTATCATGTTTTAACTCCAAGAGAGATTTTTCATTTAAAATTGTTCATTCTAATTAAGGAAGCTGTTAACAAGTTTTAAATTGTCGAAAAGATATTTTTTGTTGACATATTTATTGAAATTTATTTTTTTGTTTCCTTCGAATTATTTAAAGCTTTTTCTCAAATTGATTCATTTCCAGAAATAAAGTAGTTTTGAATCAGTATCCATCTTATGAATTAAGGGTAAATTGCATCGCTGAGTTTAAATTAAATGATATTCATTAACGCATTTAAATTGATATGAAGCTAGAAATGTGTTAATGAAAAACATATCCAAAAGAGAAATTTGATTTTAATGATGTAAAACCTAAATAGGAAGAAAAAGTGACGACTTTAATAGAACAGGATGTCAATATGTTTAATTAAATTTGAATATTTTTAGATTTTTCATTTTAAGTTTTACATGGTTTATTGCAACACAAACTTGTAACATAAATATAAAACAAAAGCAATTAGGATAAGCAACAAGTACTTACAACATAAGATTATGCCTTTCCAGCTAAAGGGCCTCCGCGACATATTTGTTATCATTTGAGCCGCGTCATGACAAAACCAACGTAATGCGTTTGCGACCAGCATGGATCCAGACCAGCTGCGCATCCGCGCAGTCTGATCAGGATCCATGCTGGTCGCTATCAGTTTCTCTACTTGTTATAGGGTTTGTAAGCGAATAGCATGGATCCTGATCAGACTGTGCGGATGCGCAGGCTGGTCTGGGATCCATGCTTGTCGCAAACCCACTATGTTGGATTTGTCGTGACGCGGCTCATTTATTTGTTGTATATCTAAAACCTAAGAAAATGCTTTACTCTTCAAACATTTTATAAAAACATTTTTACTTTTGTTCTAACAAATGTTGCACAAACATCAATAGCATCAACATCAGCTGGAAATGAGAAAAAAATGGAACTTACAAAGTTAAAAAAAATGGCACATTGTCAATAAAAATTTGACATGGAATTTAAATTGGGAAATCATATTTGCGGAGCTAAAAGAAGGAATATAATGAACACACATGACGAAAATAACACTTTTTTCACCAATCGATTGTAAATGCGTTTTCTTTCCTAAAATCTTTTTAATGAAAGAAAAAAGGGAGAAATAAATGATAACGCGCGTTTAAGAGTATTTAGTAGAAAATGTTATTTTGAACAATAAGTTTCTACATTTCTGTTAAAACATTAATATTTTACAAATGCCACAATTTGTACAAGATACAAATGTAAGAAAAAGATAAACGTACAAATCACTGCATATAAATATCTGAGAATTTTTTAATGAGATATTATCTATTCATACAATTATAAAGATATTAACAACGGTCGTTGAGACGTTTTAATGATATTTCTTATAGCGTTTATAATATTTAACACATGATAAAACATAACAATTTTAATTAATGAGTGATAAAAAGATACTTTTGTATCAGTTTTCAAATAAAAATCCCTGTAATTTGATTTTAATATCTTTTATGGAGCTCTGATAATCTGTTGTATATATCGTTAATAGACAGATAATTTTCAACATTATTGCGTTCAAAGTTATCGCTCCACATCAATCTGTATATACGTTTAACAGTTGCTCTTAATGGGTCATGTACATTACTGTGTTATTGAAGTTTTCTCATTTTATTCAATATAATTTCCTTCATGTGAATTTACAAGTAAATGTATTGATGAGTTAAAACTTTGTTTTATTGCTGCTAATAAATAAATATTCAGTGAACAGAAATGAAGAGAAATTATCTGCTTGTCAGCTAAACCAGGTTTAACCAGGTTTTAGGGATTCTTATTTTCTCTACTAAATGTATTTTATCCTTATTGTATGCTTTCAAAGCATGTTTTGTTTAATAATTCCTTTTCCCCCTGGAATAATCATGTTCGTTATGATGATTATTTCAACCGGAGTGACCCTTTAACATGTTAAAAGTGTTCCGCTCTTTTCTTTTTTTCTAAAAAAAGAAATTTACATTTGTAACTGTGTACTCGACAAAAAAATCTCTGCTACATTTATATTGATGAGCAGAAGATTATTAATTTTAAATCATTGACAAAATAGTTTGGAAAAAAGCATATTTTAATTAATTACGATTTTAAGAACGGCTTTTTTATCAACATTAGTTTTGCTTCATTATTTTGTATGATATTTGTTTATTTTTTCTTTTGTCGTTAGAAATCCTTAACCAAACGTCAATAAAAGAAACTAAGGAATACATGTTTACCAAATGTTAGAAAGAGGTGAAAAGACATGTACGGACAATTTATAGTAAAGTTTAAAGTACAAAACATTCATTTTTACAATGGACATGTTATTTTATTAATATGAAAAGTCATACTTGTTAGTAGTATTGTTTTCTATTATCTCCAGTAATCGTTAATCGTGTCAAATGTATTAAAATCCTGAACCAGAAGACAACTAACATTGAGCTGTGTCTGTTGGAAAGGTTTTCATGTCGATAAAGCTATTATATATTTATTTTTTATCTTTAAATGCCACTGGGAGATAAAAATGTGTGAGAACTTGTAATACCAATTCTTAACAATGAAGAGAGATTTGTCATTAAAGAAATCTTCATTCTAATTAAAGAAGATGTTAAGAAGTTTTAAATTGTCGAAAAGATATTTTTGTTGACATATTTATTGGAATTTATTTTTGTTTCCTCCGAATTATTTAAAGCTTTTTTTTTCAAATTGATTCATTTCAAGAAATTAAGTACTTTTGAGTCATCATCCATCTTATGAATCAAGGGTAAATTGCATCGCTTATTTTAAACTAATTGATATCTATAAACGCATTTTAATTGACATGAAGTTAAAAAATGTATTACTGAAAAACATATCCAAAAAGAGAAATTATATTTTAATGATGTAAAACATTTATAGGAAGAAAAAAGTGTCGACTTTAATAGAACAGGATTTCAATATGTTAAATTAAATTTGAATATTTTTAGATTTTTCATTTTAAGTTTAAACATGGTTTATGGACCGTTCCGCGACGGATATTTTTAACCAATGAAAGTGATCCGTTTACTTCAGTGCGGTATTGCTTGTTGCTACCCGCCATCTTGTGCTCACAAGCTTTCACTTGGCAACTGCTACATCAAAAGTAAATACCGCGGTTTTATTCAAAATGGTGCGTAGATGTGCCTGGGGAACATGCAATGCAGATTGCAGGTATCCTGATAAGATGATTGGGGTCAGATTCATAACATTTCCTAACCCTAAAACTCAATTTGAGAAGTGTTTACGGTGGATAAAGGCATGCGCCCGACCGCATGAACAGTTAAATGTCAGCAGGATTAACAAAAATAAAGTCGTGTGTTCAACGGTAAGTGAATCTGTAAGAAATGCTGATTTAAACATGAAATGATTTACCAAGCCAGACTGGCTTTTGATTTGTTTGATGTGTGCCACTTTGTGGATACATGTTGTTGTCAGTTCATTTTGACAGTTCAAAGCAACTTATGAAATTGCCTAATGAACTAGTCTATGCCTGAATAATGTTGAGCCTAAAACTGGCCAGCCTTAAAAATAATTATAAACTGCTCCAAGCTTTTTTATATTTTCATAATACCTTTTCTCTTTGACTTTTGTCAGAACATTCATTATCAATTCAGTAAAAAAAGCATATGTTGATGCATCATGCATTAAATGGCTAACTTCATGGGTGGTAGGCTATAAGTTACAAAAAAATAGTGACCATGAAAATAATATAATTTGTTAGAGGACTGATCTTTTAACCAAATAAGTAAAATAATATTTGGTTATTTTGTTAAGCATACAAAAAATACTGAAAAGCCATTTTATAAATTATGATGGATAAATGGTTACTGTATACAGATCTTTTGTTTCATTTATATGTCATATAGAGCTCTACCTCCAGTATTGTTATTTTTATTTATTCTTTTTTAACACAAGTAATCACTTATTCACATAATTACAGCACTTCATGGGAGAAAATGGGCCAACTGATAAATATCCAGATCCCCTGCCAGCTGATGGATCATTGGCATCTCCTACCAGACCACCACCCAAGCGCAGGCGGTTGGACTTGGAAGCACCTATATCATTTGACATTTTGGTTGAACAAGAAAAAAACAAAGAGTAAGGTTAAAATTTCAAATTTTGTATTTATTCATTAATGATAAGCCTTTGAACAATGGCACTTTTTATTTAAATCATCTGAATTTGTTTACATATCTGTAAAATCAAAAAGTGAAATAAAATTCAACAAATTTATTACATCAGTATATTTAATAGATAAATAAAAAACTTGTTAAACTGACTGTACACAACTGTAACTTCAGTAGAATTTTGTCACATTGACATGAAAATTTTGAAAGAGAGTCCATGCATGTTTGTCTTAGCCTACACAGAAGCCTTTTTACTCAATAGTATGCTAATTAACACAGTACTAAATATTACATGTGTGTTTGTAACAAATAAGGGTATGTTATAATAAACAAATTGATAATTGTTTCTAATAGAAATGAACTTCACTCCATGCTCAAATATAAATTTTGTAAATTATGAAACAGTCATAATTACTGATACTAATGCATCTTCTTTAATTATTTCAGAAATGTACAAACAACTACAGATGATGGAAATCAAAGAAATTATGAACTAAGTGGACAATGTGAAGTTGGCTGCCAAACAGACAAAGGTATTATTGGTCATGACACATTAATCAAATGTCAATATGTAACTTGCACATGTATATCATATTTATATGGCCAAGTATAATTTAGTGTAAACTTATATAACCCAAACTTCTATGTAAAGGTTATATTGCAAACAGTTATTTATGCATGGCCATATAAGCTGTAATATGTCATTCACACATTAAATATAGTTTGAAACTATACATTTCCATGACTGCAATGTAAGAAAGGATGAGCATACTGTTCAAAAAAACTGGCTAATACATTTAGCATATTTGTCATAAATTCAACATCTGGTTCAACACGCTGAACAAATAAGTCAGACTCATTTGGACAATATACAATGAAATCACAGAATGAACTACCTGTAATCATGAGCTGCCCTTGAACCTGGGCATAGTATGCATGATTTGATTTCAGTACAACCTGGCCATTCTGATCAGTGTGTAAAAAGAAATTATTTAATTGGCAGCAAGCATCAGCAACAGTCAAGTCTCTGGCACTATAGGGACATTTTATTTCTATAATCCCTACTTTTCCATTATCACAGAGTTTTCCATCTGGGGTTGCACCCAAAAATGGAAACTCATTATTTACAACAAAACCACATTCATGAATGTGTCTTCCAGGAAACTGAGCTAGATATTTAGACTTGGCTTTGCTCTCATTTCTTTTCCCGTAAGATATAGATGGGGCATGAATATCTTTACTGGTAGAAAATAAACGTGACAGTAATTTTTCATTAGGGGGAGATTTCCTTAACATGATATCACCAAAGTTTGATGCTGTTAGCCTATTTTGTCTAGCTTGATGCCATGTTTCAGACATTGCCTGGTTTCTTGTACATTGCTCTAATGTCTGTGGGTCTGTAACTGTATAATGACTTATTAAGTGCTGAAACTTTTCAGGCAGTCTAATTTGTGATGAGTTTGTGACACAGAGGTTACCACAGCCATTTGTTGTTACAGGAACCATTGACTTCAAATTTCTTGTCTGAAATCAAAATGCATATATATTATTTCAGAGAATCAAGATGTTCATCTACATGAGGAAAACTTGCAGCTAAAAATTCAATTATTGGAGAAAGACAAAGAAATTAATAGACTGAAATCAAAATTACAACATCTGGAAAGAGATATGAAAAAGAAACAAGCATTTTCTGCAGAAGGAATTAGAAATAGGGAAAAGGATATGAAAAACTTGTTTAAATATTACACTGGAATAACTTATGTCAACTTTTTCTTTTTGTTTTCTTTTTTGTTTCCAAATTCACAAGAAACTGTTAAATATGGTAGGACTGACACTAAGCTACTATCAAATGAAGATGCACTTCTTCTTGTACTCTGCAGATTGAGGCATGATTTTGGACTGAAAGATTTGGCAATGAGATTAAGTTTATCTTTGCAGTCAACAGGCATTGTATTTAACAAACTCTTAGATATTTTATATTTTAAATTTGGTCAGATTTCACTGTGGCCCCCAAGGGATGATATTATATCTAGAATGCCAGCAGAATTTAGAAAAGATTTTCCTACAACCTTAATTATGATAGATGGAACAGAATTCAAAACTCAAGTACCAAATGCATTAACTCTTCAAAGTCAAATGTACAGTGATTACAAATCATCTACTACTCTTAAAGCTTTAATTGGGTGTGACCCAAGTGGATCTGTAATTTTTATTTCTGAGCTTTTTACTGGTTCAATATCAGACAAAATGATCTGTGAAGAAAGTGGATTTTATGCCATATTAAAAGATTTGTTAAACCATGGTTACATTAATCCAGGTGATGGTATAATGGCTGATACAGGATTTACAATACAAGAGGAACTTAATAAACTTGGCCTTGTGTTAAACATTCCCCCATTTTCTTCTTGTTCATCACAAATGTCTTCATCTGATACTTATTTAACTCAAAAAATTGCCAAACACAGAGTTCATGTTGAAAGAGTAATAGCTAAAGTGAAGACATATAAATTGTTGTCTCATAAAATTCCTACATCATTATTTAAACAAGCTAATAAGATCTGGTCTGTTTGTGCAATACTTACATTACATCAGAGAATATTTGTAAAAGACAAATGACTGTCTGAGTTGCAATAACTTTGTTTAACAAATGTTAACATACTACTGCCAAATTAGTAGTTATGTTATTACTTGATTGATTTTGGCTGAATTTGTATTAAAGATATACTATGCTCAAATTTGATATTAGAAAATATAGATAATTAGTACACAGTAAATATAAAATAAACATGTATTGACTTCACACAAAATAAATATGTTATGTTTAAAATGCTACATACTATAGGTGGTCACAATATGAATATACATGTATAGTGTCATTACAAAATCTGGCAGTTTTTTTAAGAAAAGACCAACTTTACTTGACCTGTTAAAGGGAATGCAACTTCCTATACATAGTTTATATAATATTTTATCCAAATTCAACATATTCAGTAAGAATATCATAGATTTCAATACATTTCTGTGATTAAAACATTTTACCCAAGAATGAGCATAGAGTATCTTCAATTAAATCTTATCTATATCACATAGATGTTAAAATATTGTATGTAAAAATATATTACCTGATATGACAGAAATGAACCAAGCTGAACTTGACCAAGATCTGTTGTAACTAATGGCCTCTTTGATGAGAGAAGGTATTCAAGAGGTGTGCCTTTGGCCCCTTTTAACTGCTCTATATCATTGCTGGTAACCTCTGGAAGCCTGTAAATTTATGTGAAAGATTTCATAAATTAAAACATTCTTTACAAATTTTATACATATAAAATGTACAAGTATCTGACATTGTTGTTAAAATGTATATAAGTAAAACACCTATATGGTTTTTTTTGTTATAGTTATATAATATAAATAAAGAATGAAATTTTAAAAAACATACGTGTAGTTACTTTTGTACTTTGTTTAAAATCTTACTTGTACTGAGTGTCAACTTGGCATAAAACTGGTTTTCTCTTCCTTGTCTCACAAGCTTTGGCCACCACAACATGGTTAAGTGGGACAGGCTCAATCTTCTCTCCTCTTGGAACATGCCATTGCTGGGGTACACTTGTACAGCTCAACTGGTCAGGTACATTACTGATGTTGTGTAGTTTCAGTCCTTGAAGAGTTTTCACTAGACCAATAATGTGGGAACAGTGGCCTGTTAATCTGAAATATACAAGACTGCACATTATTATTGTATCAAACAGTGATTCAACAATGATGGTGATAAATCATGATGATGATGATGATGATGATCATCATTTTTGTTATCATTAGATCTGTTTTGATTAAGTTGACAGAAAAAAATACACCATGACTCTTCTGTCTACGATATCTTTTTTCTTTACTGAAGAGAATTAATAAAAAAAATCCGACATAGTTATTTAATAAATAGATCTACATAATGGTGTATAGTCTATACATTTTTAATTCATTTATATTTTTTATTTATTTATTAGACTATTTTTTTTTTGAAAGTGGGAGGGGTGCAATTCATTTTTTTATTCTAAAATACAGAAATACAGAATCCGTTAAGAAAGCCTACTTAAGTTGTTGTCAATTTTACGTATTTGATTACTTACCCAACCTTACAAGAGCAGTACGACTCTGTTATAATATCTTTGAGAATCTCAATGTGTAGCGTGTGCGGCTTTTCGTTTTTCCTCATAGATCTCCAACACCGAGCAACAACCTTTACCTTGGGTTTATCGTCAATATGAACCTTAATTTGATGGACATAGCCTTGAAGATAGTAATTTAAACCTCTTTTTATAATCCTTTCCATAAGACTTCTGTGATTAGGTAGAAAACTAATAGATATATTATCGGGCACATCTTCTAGCGAGTCGGTTGTTGTTGATACGGCCGCCATTTTGGATGCTGGCTTGTGAGGCATAGCAACAATCACTAGGGATTGCGCAATAGGCGGAAATAATCGGAACGGTCCATTGCACTACAAACTTGTAACATGAATAAACAATGATTAATATAAAACAAAACAAAAACACTAAGGATGAACGACGCATTTGTTATCATTGATTTGTTATATATCTAAAACCTAAGATAATGGTATACTCTTCGAGCATTTAATTAAAACTGTTTTTACTTTTATTCTTACAAATCTTGCACAAAAACCAATAACCTGGAAATGAGAAAAAAAATGAAACTTACAAAATTACAAAAATGGCACATTGTCAGCAAAAAATTGACAAGGATTTTAAATTGGGAAATCATATTTGCGGAGCTAATAGAATGAATATAATGAACACATATGACGCAAATGACACTTTATTCACCAATCGTTTGTAAATGCGCATTCTTTCCAAGAAACCTTTCCATGAAAGAAAAAAAGAGAAATAAATGATAATGCGTATGTAAGAGTATTTCATAGAAAATATTTTTTTGAACATTAAGTTTCTACATTTGTGTTAAAACATTAATTTTTTACAAATGCCACAATTTGTACAAGATTCAAAGGAAAATGATAACATACAAATCACTGAATATAAATGATACACGAGAATTTGGTTACTGTTTAGTTTGAGATATTATCTATTCATACAATTATAAAGATATTAAACTACGGTGATTGAGACGTTTTATTGATATTTCTTATACTGTTTATAGTATTTAACATATGATACAGCATAAAGATTTTAATTAATGAGTGATAAAAAGATACTTTTGTATCAATTTACAAATAAATCCCTGTAATTTGATTTAATATCTTTAATGGAGCTCTGATCATCTGTTGTATATATCGTTAATAGACAGATAATTTTCAACATTATTCCGTTCAAAGTTATCGCTCCACATCAATCTGTGTATAATACGTTTAACAGTTGCTCTTAATGGATCATGTACATAACTGTGTTTTTCTTACCCATACTTGAAGTTTCCTCATTATATTCAATATAATTTCCTTCAAGTGAATTTACATGTTTTTATGAGTTAAAACTTTGTTTTATTGCTGCTTATAAATAAATATTCAGTTAAAATTTTCATGAAAAGAAATGAAAAAAAAATCTGCTTGTCAGTTAAACCAGGTTTAAATGTATTTTTTCCTTATTGTATGTTTTTAAAGCATGTTTTGTTTAATAATTGCTTTTTCCCCTGGAATAATCATGTTAGGAATGATGATTATTTCAACCGGAGTGACCCTTTAACATGTTAAAAGTGTTCCGCTCTTTTCTTTTTTTCTTACTGTGTACTCGACAGAAAATCTCTGCTACATTTATGTTGATGAGCAGAAGATTATCAATTTTAAATCATTGACATAATATTTTGGAAAAAAACATATTTTCATAAATTACGAATTTAAGAACGGTTTTTTATCAACATTAATTTTGCCTCATTATTTTGCATGTTATTTGCTTATTAGTTCTTTTGTCGTTAGAAATCATTAACCCGACTTCAATAAAAGAAACTAAGGAATACATGTTTACCAAATGTTAGAAAGAGGTGAAAATACATGTACGGACAATTTATAGTAAAGTTTAAAATACAAAACATTCATTTTTACAATGGATATGTGATTTTATAAATATGAAAAGTCATACTTGTTAGTAGCATTGTTTTCGATTATCTTCTGTAATCGTTAATCGTGTCAAATGTATGAAAATACTAAACCAGCAGACAATTAACATTGAGCTGTGTCTGTTGGAAAGGTTTTCATGTAGATAAAGCTATTATATATTTATTTTTTATCTTTAAATGCCACTGGGAGATAAAAATGTGTGAGAACTTGTAATACCAATTCTTAACAATGTCGATTATGAATATTCCTTTACCTAAATAGCTGTCGATTGATATTTTTTATCTGTCTAGGTGTTTGTTTTGACAAGTTGTCTAACATACTTCAGAGGTCGGAAGTTTATTTGAAATTGTTTGTTTCTGAAAATAGACCTTATGTTTTTTTGCGATTTATTATTTTTTTAGCTTAATTAATAGTTTGTTCTCTCAATTTATAACACAATTGAATGAACACAAGATTAGTTTTTAAATTGTATTTAATTAATGTTTGGTTATAAAATTTAAGTATGAATATATAAACGTGTATATAATATTTTTAAATATGTTAAATGTACAAGTCAAAATGTTGAAACTAAGAAGCGGTTCTTGTAAAAGCTAGCAATAACTTAAATGCTCTATTTCAGCATTTACCTAGAAATAGTTTGATAGATTAATAAAACAACCACTAGTTTAAATCTCATGTCAGGGTTTTGTATGAAAATTTAACCACAACAAATAAACACGATTACGTTGATATCTGCACATACATTTTTAATTATTATTTAATGTAGAGTTATAAACCATGGTTGCAACAAACTTATCCATATGAAAATTGTATTTAACTCTTCATAAAATTGATGGATTCAGTGATTGAAAAAAAAATGTACATACTTTACTCTCACTCTGGTCGTTGCCTTTAGGGAACTCTTCCCCGATAAACGAATGAATTTCAGGAGAATTGGTTTTGACTTTCAGTCTGTTGTTGTAAAACATTAAGCAAATGCGTATGTTGTTAAACTGTGTATCAAAACTAAGATAATTGCTTGGACTAATTAAGTAAGACAATATTTACAATGCCTTTGTAAAGGTGTGCATTGAACTCGTGCTAATATTGATTTATTTTAAATCTTTCGAAGATAGCATCGGTGTTGGAAACAACAAGATAAATGATAAAAGAATTCAAGATGGTCATGATAGTGAAATTTGTGCTTCACTAAATCAATGGCTTTGTTTTGTTAAAATATTGATTTTGTCCCGTTGTTATCGTGTATAATACATAAAATATGATACCAATGCAGACATGAATCATATTATTTTGTCTGTATTATTTTATAGAAAAAGTATAAAATAGGCACGTGCACGGGCGTTTTTTGAGAGTTCAATATGTACCAATATGTATTGGATTTCTTTTGAAACTTAGCTAGAAGAGAATGTTATAATTGATATGCATTGAACTTACTTGTATGAACAAAAAGTCATCAATTTTACTGAGCGATTTTGTCATATTTCATTAGCTTCCTCATCTATTTTCTTATTACAAAAGCCTGGATGTCGTAATGTGATTTCTTTATTTTCATTTTGTGATCGACCAGTATGTGTTTTTGACGTCAATTGCATATTTACAAAATTAAGAAGGAATTGTTTACGGAAAGTAGAAAATTTTTAGTTTGAAGTCATATAAGATTGTATTTTTCTTAATAAATAAGCAGAATTCAAATTTGGAACAAAATCAGCAGGAACAAAAACAACAGTAACAAATACTTAATTTGAAAATTAACAACATTTATGATTTTTTACAAAACAACTGCAACAAGACAACAACAATCACGAATATACCAAAAGAACTGGAAACTGGAACAGTTTTTCATACCTTATAGCTTTTAATATCTGTCTAGCGTTTAGTGTATTTTTGAAGCTGTATATCTTAGATATGATTTAGCAATTTGTAACGGTGTACAGTTTTAAGCACCGTACAATAAACCGGATATAAACACTGACAAAACTTCTCTTAAACACTTGATTTATTGTTTTATAGATCGATTTAGCAGGAAAAGGGGAACTATATAAATATATATATATATATTTGATTTAGACTATCTTACCTCAGTCTGTAGAATAAATCTGACTTTCATTTGTGCAGCCTAACCAGCTCTGTACTGTTGGCAGGTTTTTTGTATATTGATACCAAAATAGTCCTTTAAATTTTGAACGGATTGTTTCAAATTTGAAATTAAACAAATCCATTATCCTTATTTAGCAGTTTTAGAGTAAATAATAATTTTGCTTTTGAAAAAAAAATTACAATGAACTTTGTCTTCATTTAATGAAATTATGCTTCCTCGCCAATATTTGCTAGATGCATTTCAGTTTAACAGACTTACAGTAAATGTTTCTAAATGAGCCCCTTGCACCGATTTTATTTATGTTAACTTATATTTACATTAGAATTTTGAGATTCTTTGTTTACTTTAATAAATCCTAGAAATAATGTGTTTATTTGGAATTAAAAAAACAAGTTTGAAGAACTGTTTATGAAATAAAAATTACAAATTTCCTCTTAAAATGTTTTTGCTAAGATAGTGAAACTCGACTTATCAATTTGCAAAAATATAGTTATTTAAACGTATGTTGTTCTAAAATATATATGTATTATTTGTATTATATCTGATAGACAGATCATGATGATGTAGTTCTTTCTTTCTTTCTTTCTTTCTGATTTTGTTATTTTTGGATACTAATGCATGTGTTATTTAGTATTTTAAAATCTGAAGTATGTTAATCGTGCAGCATTGACCTACACAATTAAATAATTCTGTCTGAACGAACTACCGGTGTGACTATAGTTACTATTTTGAAATAAAATTAATTGCAATAATTATTAGTGTTTATGATGATGACGTCTGAATATTATACTTTTTCTCTACAAGTAAAATAAGTCTTTAATATATTAAATACGAGCAGCTGCTTACATGGAATGAATTCTGAAGGAGGGAGACTGTCGTGTTGTGTTTTTAGACATTTAATGATACACATTCAGTTTTACTGTGCATGAAAATGTAAGCTTAAAAACAGCTTTAATTTTACAAAGATTAGTCTCGATACTTTCGGACAGGTGTTTATGGTATTCCTCAACTTTATTTGTTAGGTTAAACTTGAAATCATCGTACAGCAAAGACAGATTTAAAGCATGTATTTAAGGTGAGGTGAACATGATTACTGCAAACTACACTTAGTTATTTTTATTTTGTTTTATGTATCATATACTGTGAATGTCAGTCATATAACCCATGCAGGCATGAATAATTATATATTTGTCTGCGCCATTTCCTATATAAGTGGGGCATTTATATGTACTATGAGGGTGTTGAAAAAGTTATATATTTGTCATACAATATGTAAAAATATCCACCTGATTTATATCCAACTTATGTAGCT